TGCTTTGTTTTTATTTATATTAACCAGAAAATAGATATCTACAAGGAAAAAGCAACATAGCCTTTGAGTTGTTTCCTACTATGCTTTTATTCTAAATATTAAATCTGTCATTATGTAGAAATTTTATGTACTTTAAAAACACTAGGTCTCTGAACTATTTGATATGAGTATGAATATGCTACTCAGAATTCAGATCTCAACCAACCTTATCAGTGTTCCAAATGTATTTTTTATTTAATAGTTTGGCTGCTGTTTCTGAAAACATGCTGAGTAAACGGCAGTGTGAACTGGATCTAAGGGGAAAAACATTTCTGAAAAAACTCATCTTCTACCAATATACTTCTGATATGAAAGAAGAATTTTTCTCTTCAGTATAAAGTATTTATAAGACAAAAGCCATGGGTGTTCACTCATAAAACATGCAAATTTAAACATAGTAATATTTCTCATGTATTCCTTCAGATTCTATAAAATTTTGAAGATAGTTTTTAATCATGTGTACACTGGAAGATGGTTAGATGTCTACATGGTTTTGTATCTATCTATAATTTGGCAGAAAATATATTTAAGCATTTATTTTCCTTAAATATTTCATTTTCCCTTTTAACTCAACATCATTCTTCCCAAATTTATGAACAAAGGGATAACAGTTCATCAGGGCTGACAGACATGGCAACCAACAGGCAAGATCATGTAGCTGAGAGTTCACATTTTCAAATGAGAGGATAAATTACCAGTGTGAGTCTTTAAGCTCTCCAAGACTGTCCCCAGTGACACATGTCCTCCAGCAAAAGCACATGACCTAAACCTACCCAAACAGCAGCGCCTAAACTAAACTTCAAATACCGGAGCCTCCTGGGGACATTGAACACCCAAGCTATTACAAAGATACAATTAACATTCATGTATAAAAATTTTAAATGTAAACACAGTTCTTGAATTGTGAGGACAAATGGTGATTTCAGAGAATGCTTAACTTTCTGAAAAACTGTGTCTTTGTTACATTTCCAATAACAATTTATAAATTCAGGTTGATACCCACCTTTCAATATATAGTACTGTTAGTCTTTTTATATTAAGCAATTCTATCCAGTGCATTTTCCTGTTGGGAAATATTCATGCTCTTTCTGAACACTAATATAGCAACTTTTATAAGGGTCTGTTCAAATATTTTCTCCATAATCATACTGAGCATTGCCCCAGTCTTTCCCAATGGAATTGTCTTAAAGTAAGTATAAAATCAATTGGCTATATGTATAAGGAAGTATTAACAGACAATTAGCCATAGAAAATGATTTTTGATTTTTTATCTTCATGGTCATGTTGTCTATAAATGATGATATTGTAGCCATATTATTCCAAATGTACAGCAGTCTAACTTGCTAAATGGAAACTATACAAAATAATATATTTTCAAGGTTAACTATAACCACAGAATCAACATAAAAAACAGGTAATGTTTACAACATATATGCATGTATGTGTGCATATGAATTAATAGAAGATAACTTTACCTTCTATTTCTTCTTCAGTTCATTTTGGAAGCAGGAAACTAACAAATGTGTGCTTATTATAAATTATGGAGCTTACTGGTAAGGTGATGGGGGAGAGTCTTCTGTTTTGTGTTAATTTCATTGGTTAAATAAAGAGACTGCCCTGGCCCTTTAGGACAGAAAATTAGCTAGGTGGAGTAAACAGAACAGAATGCTGGTAGAAAGAAGCTGAGTCAGTGAGTCGCCATGATTCTCACTCCCGACACAGCCACAGGTTAAGATCTTCCCCGGTAAGCCACCTCGTGGGCTACACAGATTATTAGAAATGGGTTAGGTCAATATGTAAGAGGATTCCTTTCATTTTTATATTTAGCTTGATTTTCACTGTTGTATTCATAGATATATTGTTTTCAATATTATTTTAAAAACTTGCATTTTCTTATTACTAGTATCATATTCTTTAAGATATTTACCAGATTTGTAATAGATATCTTTAAATTATCATAAAATATTTATAATATTAACAATGTCATTATTGTCCATTACTTTATTTTATTTTATGTGTATGGACATTTTGCATGTGTGTTTCTGTACCACGTGCGCACAGTGCCCTACTAGAGCAGAAGAGGATGTCCAATCAATTTGCTGCCTATTGTGAGCTGCCTTATGGGTACTAGGGATTAAACCAAGGAACCCTGGGAGGACATATGGTGCTTTCAGCCGCTGAGACATCTTTCCAGCACCACTTTGCGTTTTATTTCTATTTTCCCCCAAAGGTTAAAAGTTGTACAACCTTGTTTTTTCTTTTACACATCTAGAGATAAGAGACATGTTGACATGTTACTGACTTGGTTTTTCCAGTGCAGTCACTTAAGACCTTTTCAAAGATTGTCTCCTATTTCTATCAGCCTACATTTATGCTGCTTCAGTGCTTCCTCAAGTTCAGCACATCCAAACACAATCTTTCTGTTCACACACAAGCATTTATCCATACTAGTCTATTTCAGTGACATTTCCACATCTCTTAATTGGGCAAGTTTTTGTTGTTGTTAAATTTAATCTCTCCACATTAACTTTTCTTTAGAATCTGCTGGCATGTACAATGTATTAAGAGCTGGGAATAAGTGGCTTCCTATATCCGAGATCTTCAATTTTGTACCTTTGCATTCCATCTGGCTTCCCAAATGCAAGCTCTTCAACTGTGTACTATTAGTGCTCATTCTCTAAGAGTGTGGTACTGACCCTCTAAGCATTAGACATGATGGACACCATGATCTAAAGTTATCACTCATTGCTTTATCTCCTTTTCACAGTTTAAAGTATATTGAGGTATAATTATATCTTTTATCTTTCCCTCTTTATGCTATTGGTTGTTTTAAAAGAAACTGTTCACTTGAAAATAAGTGGTATAGTTAGTCAGGTCTTACACAGGGCACATCCAGGCTGCTTCTGTACACTGTCCTGAGATGTAATATTCCAAACCCCAAAGAATCCAGCACTGATTGATTCAGCACACAGCATACTTCCTGGTCTTGATAGCAAATGCAGTCATCCATGCCCTTGTTAGTCTAATTCTGTAATGTAGTAATGGTTTAATTCATGAAAGTACAGCCCAGGGTCTCTTACTTCAGCCCACTCCCAAGTTTTATGGCTGCTTATTAATTCATTTGTTTAAATTGGCTGTATTGTATTCTGCTACTTGCCATTAAAAATGCTGACTTATAGTTTCTTTGTCTTTAATCAATACTTATATTTGGAAGGGTTGCCAAAAGGATTGATTAGGAGAGATCAAGTGAAGTATTTAACACAAATGCCTGTAAACAATTAGCTATGGTTTGCTGCCTTGTTTTATCTTCTTTCATTATTTAAATTCACTTTCTTCCCTTAAGTCTTCCCTCCTTTCCTCCTTCATACATATTTTAAACTGCATAAGTTTATGTGTACCAAGTGCAAGCCGATACCCCTGGAGGCCAGAAGAGCTCACTGAGTTCTCTAGAACTGGAGTTACAGGCAGCTGCAAGATGCCAGATACGGGTGCTTGAACCTGAGCCTGGGTCCTCTGCAAAAACAGTAAGTGGTCTTAACCATTACCCATATCTCCAGTCCCCCTTTTGATGATGTTAAAGCAGCATAACAGAACACCTAAGTTTACATTATGGCTATGGCAGATGTCCTTCTGCAGTCGTAATCAAGTGTCTTATTGACCTAAGGCTTGGTTCTGTATCTATGAACTGGATAAGAAGTATATGTATTTTGTGATGCTACTACAAAATTAAATTAACTACAAAGATGAAATGTTGACTTCTCAACTTATTCTTATGCTCCAAATAAATAATTCACTTCAATTAACCTTATTTCCTACAGTGTTGCCTGTGAGATGCCAAATCCATCTTGTTTTCTCAGAACCCCTGGGAAACCTCTTATTATACAACATTGCTTTCTGTTAGTCTCTGCTGATTCCACTCAAATCTCTACTTCTTTAAGTTGTTCCTTTGATAGGAAACACTCTGGGGCTTGCGAACTACTATGACCAGTTCTTTGACCTTGGAACTTCTACAAACTGCGCCAGGCATTTATTTCAACATTTTGTTCTTTTCACAGGAGTCAGCTTGAATTATTTCTCCTTTAGATCTGTGACAGCGACTTTGTAAATTTATGTTTCAGAATCCCCAAAACAATTGCTGACTAGAAGATATATTGTATTACCCACTGAAAAGATTAGAATAATAGTTTTAAGATCATTCCAATAAATGTTGAGAAGTCAGAGGTAAATACTTAGCTAAAATACACTTTAAAACTCTAGGACATATTTGAATACTTAAATTAATTTTACTTTTACATATATATGTAAACTTATCTCTGATTTCCTTTTAATTGTGTTTCTGAATTCTACAGTAAAGATGGTGAGAATAATAGAGTAAACATAATATAAACATAATATCAACAATCAACATCAGAATCTGGGAATGGCTTATATTCCTTCTACATGTTTGTGGAGGTAACATAAAACTCTGTACAGATAAAAGGGCTGGGAGCCCTGGTGTGAAGTCTAGCTGCAGAGTGGAATTACCAGGAACACGTTTGCAATATTGATACCCACTATCCCACTTCAGAGACTTCTGTTTAATTAGTTGGTTAAAAGAACCATTCTCTATTTTGGATCCTGTCAGGTCCACCTTTTTCCTCTCTTCACTATTTCACTTTCTATCACCATTGGGGATATTAAACCTATTCATCTAAACATCCCTTTCCTAAGACCAACACATCCTTGTTTGGTACAGTAAAAAGGAAACAAACAAACAAAACATAAATCCCCTACTTGCTGAAGTACCCTTTTATAATTAAATAATCAGTAATATTCACACATATTAGAGATGATGCAACAAGTGAAACATTACCAAATCTATACATCAATACGGGGAGAAGAAAAAAAGAGAAAGAGCAAGGCTAGAAGCTGATAGTTGGGTTGGCACAAGTTAATGAGTTACAGTTTCAAGTTCCATGTACCTGACTGATGGCTCCCAGGTCATCCACAAAGCTGTTCACTTCTGATAGCAATAGCAATATAATAGGCTTCTTCAGCAAGCTGCACCTTCCTAGGGTTACTAGACTCTGGGAGACGTGATGCTGCACCTGGAACTACAAATGAAAATGAGTGAGATTCTATGTTCTAATCGCATCGGCGTATTTAATAGACAGCTCGACTTTTGTTTCTAAGGTAAATGTTGTACCATGTTCGAGATGTTATCTTACTTCTGGGTTAGTACTGAGAAAGACTGTGAAAAAAATTGTGATATATTTACTATGGTTTTAAGGCGCAGTCAAGGGTTTTAAAGGTATGACAGAATGCTAAGATGAAAGGGGTCGAACTGTCAGAAAGTTGGAGTTTAGAATAGGTGAATAAGGAAAATAAGAAAACTTATTTTTTTAGTCCCCACTTGATAGAAGACAGATACACAGACATATAAAGAAGTAGTTTTATTTTTTTTCTAATAAAAAATTGTATTTACTTAGAAGCACTCAGAATGTCAACAAAACAATTGCAATTTTTTTTTGCAACTACAGAGTGGTATTCAGTTAACAGAACAACAATTATCTTCGTATAAGCTGTATCAGAGACAACAGAAGATGAAAAAACAAACAAAAACAAAACAAAAAACTACCGTCCCCATATATAACTAATTTTTGCTGTGCACCGAGAACCTGCTTTAAATTTCCATGCCAATTTACAACCCCCAGACTGTACCAGGCAAGGTTAGTGGCTATTGAAAATACCACTAGGACAGGGCTATCTAAAGACACATTCGGTAGTGTGTTAACTATACAAAAAAAAGACACTGTACAGTTTAAAAACAAATCTTACATAGCCTTACATTTCAATTTTTTTCTTTAAAAGGAGTGAGTTGTGTACAGGGGGGTTAAATGCTTTATAGACAAGAAAAAAAAACTGCGCTAGAACCAAGTTATTCATCATCTTCTTCCTCATCTTCATCTTCCTCTTCTTCTTCCTCTTCATCCTCTTCGTCTTCATCTTCTTTCTCTTCCTTCTTTTTCTTGCTCTTTCCCGCCTTGACCACCCCCTTTTTCGCTGCATCGGGTTTCCCTTTAGCTCTGTAAGCAGCAGTATCCTTTTCGTACTTCTCCTTCAGCTTGGCAGCCTTCTTTTCACAGGGCTGCTTGTCATCTGCAGCAGTGTTGTTCCACATCTCTCCCAGTTTCTTTGCAACATCACCAATGGATAAGGCATGGTGTTCTCCTTTGATTTTGGGGCGATACTCAGAACAGAACAAGAAGAAGGCCAAAGGTGGCCTCTTGGGTGCATTGGGGTCCTTGAACTTCTTTTTGGTCTCCCCTTTGGGGGGGATGTAGGTTTTCATTTCTCTTTCATAACGAGCCTTGTCAACCTTGGCCATGTCTTCAAATTTCCCCTTTTCTTTAGCAGACATGGTCTTCCAGCTTTCTGAGCACTTCTTGGAGAACTCTGAGAAGTTAACAGAAGCATCCGGGGGCTTCTTCTTGTGTTCCTCCTGGCAGGTTTGCACAAAGAATGCATACGAGGACATTTTGCCTCTAGGCTTCTTAGGATCTCCTTTGCCCATGTTTAGTTGATTTTCATCCGCAAGGCAGAGTCGTCCAGTGCCCGTCTGGCTCTCGCTTGCCCCGGCGCTGTCTCTATGGAGCTCAGTGTACTGCAATGGCTGTGAGAGCGGGAGCCAGCAAAGAAGTAGTTTTAAAAGGTGATGAGTGCTTTGGTGTGTGCCACTCCCATTGTGAAGGCGACAGAGTGGTAGACACACTTCCCTATTTGACAGGAGTCAGGCTTTATAGTATGTGGAAAAAAATACTGGACAGTCTGAGTTTCTCTTTGTTAATCTTTTAATTACTTCATTTATTTATTTGTCCTGTCTGTCTGTCCATTTGTCCATCCACCTGTCTGTCTGTCTATTTATTGTGCATGTACATGTTTGTATGTCTATGTGCATGTGTGTGTGTGTAAAGGTGTCAAATGCACAAGCAGAGGTCAATGGAAAACTTGTGAGATTGATTCTCTCTTCGCATGTGTGGGTCCCAGGGATCAAACTTAGGGTATTTGGCTCACTAGCAAGCTCTTATCCACTCAACCATCCTGTCAAGCATCACTACTAAGAAAAAGAACATGTAATATTAAAGTATCTACAGATACATTTCAGGGTGATACTTTAATACTACATACTATTTTAGGAAGCTCACAATGACAGACAGTAATAAGGATCAGATTACAGAGCTACTGAAAATATGTATTATAATTATGGAACATATAATTTATATTTCATAGCAGCCTAAGCTAACCTAATTATGGAAACATACTATCATAGAGATACATAGTTATTTTCTTATCATTGTTTATTAACAATAGAATTGATTTAGATTCTGATTGCTCATAAAAAATAGTACTACTTGTAAGCTTAAAATGTTTATAACATTCTCATCTTTGCAGCTAAAGAGAAACCTGCCCTTTTGTGACCTCTAAGAGATATCAGATGGTTGTTTTGTTTGAAGTGATGCTTTAATTGTGTGTGTACTTTTCTCCACATTTTAATTCTTTAGTTAGCAAGTTCAAGTGGAAAAAAAATCACAGAAAATAAAGGAGACTTTGGAGTAGTCGTAAAGCGGTGATACCCAGGATAAGGTTACATTAGAGGCTATCATCTGAATCCAATCTCAGCATGGCTGTGTTCAGAGCTTGTATGGGCACTCCTAAGCCGTTTGTGTCACAGCTTCCACACATGCAAAACAACTGTGAAGGGAACTGCTTAGAATTGTTAAGCACAATAAAAAGGCTTAGCATAGTGTCACATACCTAGTAAGGTGCCGAATCAACAACACAAAGCTATAATTCATAACAATAATATAAAAGCATTGATGGTTATGACACAAATTTAATTTATTGGCTATTGGAAGACTAAATTCTATGAATAAAATTTTTATCGAATGAATGTAATCCTGCTAGAGAATGATGCTGAGAATACAATTTCAAAAGAAAGACCTCACCTATAGTATAGAAAAGAGCTACTACTCAGACTTAATGAAAAAAAGGCTATATAACTCTTAGTGCAGTTTACAATTTTGTAAATATTATTTTTAAATAACCTCTAAGTATCCAAAGTTATAATCGGAGTTTCTCTTTTTTGATACATAATGGAACCTTTTTGAAAGGCTGATATAGAGGTCAGAATTATCAACGATGTAATATTTTAGGTAACTATGAAACTATACATCTATGAAAGGCCTAGATAAACACTCATATGAACCTTTCTTTTCCTATTGAATCTTCCTTTATTTCAGGAACCTAAGGAGTTGGAAACTATCTCTTCCAAAATGCCTTTGAAGTGAGAATGAGCTGAGTTCTGCTGTTGCGATGGGCTTACTGAACCCCTGAATTGAAAGTGTTTTATAGAAGAACAGACTAGAAGTAGGTGCTGAGTGTACACTTATTTTGTTGACCATTATCTGACTCAGCCATCACTCATAAGCTCACTAATTTTTCAGGTTCTTAATCACCACATAGGGAATGGGCTCAAACAAGCTAGCTCCTGCACCTAGGATAGATCCTGGTCCTACTGTCAGGAGCCCCTCAGCCCAAGCATCACAACTGACTCCCACATTCGGAGGGCCTAGTTCAAACCCATGGAGGCTCCACAGATATCCATCCAGAGTTCATGAGTTTCCACTGGCTTGGCTCAGGTGTCTCTGTTGATTTCTTCACCAAGATCTTGATCTCACCTGTTCATGTATTCCCTCCTCCCTGTCTTTCGTTGGATTTCTTTTTTTCTAGATTTCTCTTCCTATATATTCTCTCTTCCTGCCAGTCATGTTAAACCTTCTTCTAGCTATTGGCCATGTGGCTTTGTATTATCAATCAGGTTCCAGGAAGTTGTGAACCACTTGATGTGGGCTCTGAGCACTCAATTCCAGTCCTCTGGAACAGAAAGAGTTCCTTTCATCAACAATGAGGTGTCTTTCTTGTCCCAAAGTGCTAGTTTAGATGGTAAACTGATTAACAGCATGCACAGTAAATTCTTTTAGCTTTTGGGCATACTTAACTACTCAATAGAGCATCTACATCAGAGAAGAATCAATAGATTATTACAGAACGTAGGGCAGAGATCCAGGATCTATCAAAATAATCCCTCTCCCCAAAACTTAAGCCTTGAATTGGGCAGTCACAAGATACACTTATATGTCAGCTAAGAGGACAAACAACCTTCTGTTCTGTCTCCAGATTTCTGTAAGATATATTTTCTCTGGAGGTTTTATTTTTAAAATGGTGTGTGTGTGTGTGTGTGTGTGTGTGTGTTTGCGTGTGAGTACTCTGCCTGGGGAGGCTAGAAAGGAAGGTCACACACATTGAATCCGGAGTTACAAGGAGTTGTGAGCTGCCTGATGTAGGGCCATGGGTTCAGGGAACTGAAAGTAGACTATATGCAAAGGCAGCATGCATTTCTAATGGTTGAGTCATCTCTCTAGTCCTTTCTCTAGTATATTTAACAGTACGATTTCTTAGATTCAACCTGTGCATATTACAGTGAAAAATGGACTTGTGACGCTGACACGCTCACATATAGCCTGTGGTTCATGCTGCAACATAGCTAGAACACAACCCAATGCAAAAATCACAAGTTTCTTGAAATATATTGTAGGATTAATTTTAAATTAGGTTATTTTATTTTATGTGTATGTTTTGCCTACCTGTACATCTGTGTACCATATGTGCTTGCAATACCCACAGAGGTCAGAAGAAAGTATTATATTTCCTGCAGCTAGAGTTATTGATAGTTGTTGGCTGTTATGTGGGTGCTAGGAACCAAATCAAGGTACTCTGGAAGAAAAGTGCACTTCACCACTAAGCCATATCCAGCCCCTATTGAAATATTTTAGAATTTGGAGAGTTTTGTTTGTTTGTTGTTTTTGTTCTTTTTTCTTGCAACTTAACTGTGTGGTTTCTGACCATGAAATTAACATCTGCATTAAGCCTCAAACTCAAAAGGCGAAACAAATCTGGAAGGGAACCTTCAGGAGCTAGTATTTTCAATGTTGTTAACACTGTAGCAATAGCTATTTCTAAGAATTTGCCAAGCAGTCATGTCTATCTTTGGTTTGTAGATCTGATTTATACTACTAAGTATTTCAGGAAGCCACAAATTGAGAAGAAAAACTAATTACTTCTGGCATTTGTAAATGCGAAACAACTTTGGGAAAAAGTAATTTCAATTTCGGTTTTTAGACTTCCTATAGATTAAAATTCAGATAAACATGGACTTATAATAAAAGATGTACAAATAGACTTGAAAATAAACTATCATCTAGTAAGCAATAATAAAAAATTACAAATATGATTTCTGAAGACATGAAGCATTAGTCAGGCTTCAAGTGTGGAAGAGAAAATAATTATGAATAAAATTGCCCAGAGTCCTAGAAATGCAAAAAGAACTGTAAACACGAAATAGAAGATTGAAAGCGTAAACTAAGTCAATGAGATAAACATGAGATTAAAGAGAAAGGTTGTAAACTGGGAAAGTGAAGGAAAGGAAACCAGCTAGATAAGAAAAAATATGTGTGGAGCATGGAGAGAGACTCAGAGTCAGAACAGAATCCAAAGGTTCACCGCATTCAGAGTTTGGAAAACAGAAGAAAGAAACAGGACAGAAGAGACTGATGAAGGGGTGAGAGAAGAGCAGACAGTGAAACTCCACTGCTCAATGGTAGAGCACACAGCAGGGCCTAGAGTATTCACTCTCTGGTGTTTATCCTTGGTAAATAAGGAAAGGCAGTGTGGCGGGGAGGACAACAGGGAAGGAAAAACAGGAAAGAATAAAGGAAGAAAATTTTCTAGGGATAATGGACAATAGAGTTCACAGATGCAAGAACTCTAATGCATATTAAAAGAAAATGGTAATAAGATTGAAAACATATTTATTCAACAGAGCAATGAAAGCTTCAAGCTATCATCACCATAATACCTCAACAAAGTATTTATTAACTTATAACTCTGTGTATCCAGAAGAACTGTTCAACCAGCTTTGATCCTTTTACATATGTTTATTTATTTTCAAACACTTTTGAAATAGGATCTCACTATGTAGCCCTAGCTGGCCTGGAATTTGCTGCATAGATCAATCTCATCTGGAACTCACAGAGATACTTTTGTGTCTGCCACCTTAGCGCTGAAATTAAAGGCATGTACCACCATGCTTGGCCTTATTTTAAAATGTTTTTATATTTAGTTCTATATTTCATTTTAGTTTACATCAAAGCACAGCATACCCTAATATCAATGTTTGTTGGATGGGCTAACAGAGTAAGTTGAAAAATGAGAAAAGGAAACTATGGGAAAAGTTAGGTTCAAAATAAAAAAGCAAATTGAATTTAATTGAGACACAGAACAGGTAATGAATAGAGATGAAATAAATAGTAAAGAACAATATATAAATAAATAATATGAAAATAATAATTCTTGAATAAAGTAAATTTGAAGACTCAAACAACTAAGCTGTAAGTAGAGGAATCCCATAATTAATGAAACATCTGATAGTGGTAATGGAAGGACTTATAAAATCTC